GGAGGAGTCCCAGTGTCTTGCTGCTGCTTTACCTCATCTTGTGTCCTCGCTGCTTGCCCCTGAGGGAGACCCGGATGCACCAGACATCCCGACTCCGCGCTCTTACGCAGAGGCGATAGAGGGTCCCTACTCCTCTCAGTGGCAGGCAGCCATGGACACAGAGATGGCTTCCTGGAAGTCCACAGGCACCTATGTAGACGAGGTTCCCCCACCTGGGGCGAACATCGTCAGTGGCATGTGGATTTTCAGGGTGAAGCGGCCGCCGGATTCTCCGCCTGTCTTCAAGGCGCGTTACGTGGCTCGAGGCTTCAGTCAGCGGCAGGGAGTTGACTACTTTCAGACCTTCTCTCCCACCCCGAAGATGACCACTCTTCGGGTGCTGCTGCACATAGCCGCTCAGCGCAACTACGAGCTTCACTCTCTTGACTTCATCACAGCTTTCCTACAGGGCAGCCTGCACGAGGAGATCTGGCTGCGCCGCCCACCTGGCTTCACTGGGTCGTTTCCTCCTGGTACTCAGTGGAGCCTCCGGCGGCCAGTCTACGGTCTCCGCCAGGCGCCCCGTGAGTGGCACGACACACTGAGGACTACACTTGCGGCTCTTGGGTTTGCTCCTTCTACTGCCGACCCGTCGCTGTTTCTACGCACCGACACCTCTTTGCCGCCGTTCTACATCCTCGTGTACGTCGACGACTTAGTCTTTGCTACTGCTGACACTGCTGGACTCGCCCACGTGAAGTCCGAGCTGCAGAAGAGACACACGTGCACAGACCTGGGTGAACTGCGCAGCTATCTTGGCCTGCAGATCACCCGGGACAGAGCACGGTGCACCATTACCCTAACTCAGTCACACATGGTGCAGCAGGTCCTTCAGCGCTTTGGCTTCACGTACTCCTCGCCTCAGACCACTCCTCTGTCTACTCGCCACTCGCTCTCAGCTCTGCCTTCGGATGAGTCCGTAGAGCCGAGTGGCCCGTACCCAGAGCTTGTTGGCTGCCTCATGTACCTGATGTCCTGCACTCGACCTGACCTGGCATACCCTCTTAGCATCCTTGCACGCTATGTCGCTCCTGGGAGACACCGACCAGAGCACATGGCTGCAGCGAAGAGGGTGTTGCGCTACTTGTGCAGTACGTCGGGCATGGGGCTCGTGCTTGGAGGGCGGAGTTCAGTGGTCCTCACTGGTCACGCAGACGCGTCTTGGGTTGACGACTTGGCTACGCAGCGGTCGTCACAGGGTTACACCTTCAGCCTTGGTTCTGGCTCTGTTTCGTGGCGGTCTACCCGCTCGTCTTCTGTTCTCAGCTCCAGCTGTGAGGCTGAGATCTACGCAGGGGCCATGGCTGCACAGGAGTTACGCTGGCTCACCTACCTGCTGACTGACCTGGGAGAGCCGCCTCGTTCTCCTCCAGTTCTGTACGTAGACAACAAGGCCATGCTGGCCTTGTGTTGGGAGCACAGACTGGAGCACAGAACAAAGCACATTGCTCTTCGCTACTTCCTTGCTCGTGAGCTGCAGCAGCGTGGACAGCTGCGCCTTGCTTACGTGGCCACTCGGGCCAACACTGTTGATATCTTCACCAAGGCACTTCAGCCTTGTGATCATCAGCGCTTTTGTACTATGCTAGGTCTTGTGCCTACTTGGCCTCACTTGCTCACTTCTTGACCTTGCTTGTACTGTGATCTATATATACCTGCACCTGCATGCTTACCCTTGCTAGGTTGAGATCACTGCATTGCTTGTTCACCTTGATATATAACTCTGCTTGTGAACTGGCCTTGTGGCCTTGTGCTTGTGCTCAGAATGCGTGGTGACGTTGTGATCCACCCTGAGCTTGTTTTGCTTTGTTTCTTCTCTTGACTGGTCTTGTGACCGTTTGTTGTGTTGGCTATCCCCCACTTCGCCTATGGGGGTGTGTCAAATTATATGTTTAATGTTATGTAGGCTGTAGTGGGTTTAGCCTTAGGGGGTACAGAAGTTTGCTCGACACTTCTTTGTATCCCCCTCCTTGCCCTAATCTCCATCATACCTTCATACTATTTTCACATCCCCAATGTGCGTGAAAACGCTGCGTCCACCGAGGCGACGCTCGCCAGTCAACGTCCGGATGGCGCCTCTTCATCGACGAACGACTCCAGGTTTGCAGCAGCTTTATTGGCACGGCCAGGCCACGGGCACGATAGGAGAGGAATTGCTTGTACACCGACAACTCCATGTCGGGGTACTTGGCTTGCCTCCCGCCACCAACGAGACGGCGACGGCAGCCAGCAGCAGATGCGATCTGCTCCTCCGCTTTCTTCCACCGACGCACGCTAATGGGTTCAACGGTGGCCATACGTGCCGTCGCGGTCACTGTCAGGTGCTCCTCACGCATGCGCCTGGGCCATTCTGCCTTCTCGGCCATCGTCCGCGATGTCCGACGATGCTGCGTAACCCTGTTGCGCGCATCGGGGTTCATAGAATCACGGGGGATTACTGACGGTTCTTCATCGTGAAGGACGTCAGGGGGGAACTCAGGCACAGGAAAGGCGGGAATAGACTCGTTAGAGTCCTCGTCGTCGTCTGCGTTGGTGTCAGCGGCGAGAGACTCGTCGACAGAAGCGGGTGGCGTAGGAAACACGTCGTCTTCATACACTGGTTCGAACGGGTAAGGGAAAGGAGGCACGGGTACAGTAGGTGCAGGTGGAGCAGGAGGTGACAGTGGAGCTGGCGGGGAAGGCGGCGTAGGTGGCGTAGGTGGCGTAGGAGGAGTCGGAGGAGTAGGAGGTGCCAGTGGGGCTGGTGGCGCGTTCGCTAACGAAGCAATCGCCCTCGCAGCGCTCCTATCCCTCATCCCCTGCAACATCTCGAGGGCAGACATGTTGAAAGTTGCCTGCGTAAGCAGGCTCTAGCTGAGCACGGCAAGAAATTAACATCTCTTAAGTCAAGGGAGGGAGCTCCAAGAATGAACGCTGTGCCAAAACGCCACAATGAGCCCCACTCTCTGAGACTACCCCCCTCTGGAAGCGGGGGTATCAGGGATGTGAGCGACCTGGTGCCCTAGTCGCTCACGTCTCTATCAGGTGGCCTAGCCAACAGGGCAGGCATCGCAAGTTCTGGACGGAGGAATCTTCCCTCCTGTCCAGATTCATGCCACAACGGGCCGCAGTCAGGTGCTGGCAGGTAGAGGATGGCAGCGCCGTGCCAGCGGTGCTGGGAATTCACGCCGTCACACCCAAATTTGCAGACGCACGGCCGAATTTGGGCCAAGACATAGTCAAGATGCCAATACGCGGCATTGCGAAACTGAATCGTGTTTGTGAATTTGGGGGTGTTTTGTAACGAGTTAGATTTAACCTTGCTTTTGGAAATTTTATGATGTTCATGGGTCTTAATAAAAATGCCGTTTGGTATTGTTCACCTAAATGATTTTTACAACATATTTGATACGACCCCCGGGTCCTATATACGGGAGATTACGGTATCAGCACAGCCAACCGTCAGCCAAGCTGGTTCCTTCCTGCTCCTGGCCTCCAAGCAACCGCATGCTGTTGCTCGCACCTCTGCCCCACCAGCCGCCACCCATCTACTGTCCCTCTGGAGCCGCCAGCTTGCACCTCCTTGCCTTGTCCACCAGCTTCTTTGTGGTGAGTATGACCAACTCTCTGAGGTGCAACAAGAGGGTGGGAGAGCAGACCACAATGCAAGATATGATTTATCGGGAGGGAAGTGACATGAGATGGAAGATCAGTTAGAAGAGAAAGAATGTTGGTGGTGGACAAACGAATCAATGAGATCAAGATGTGGGGTGATAGTGGTGGGAAGCAAATAATAACAGCATTCAGTGAAGAAACAGTGAAGTCTTCCTATACCTCTCCCTCTCCCTCTGCCTCTGCCTCTGCCTCTCCCTCTTCCTCCCCACCACATTCCTCTCCGTTTCCCTCTCATTCTCCCCCTTCTGTCCCTTACAAGTGCACTGGTTGTTATAACCCATTTGAAACCCAGCCTTGCACTGGCATACTGCCTTTCCTCCCACCACCTTGCACTGCGCATTAGCAGGGCAGCCACCCTTGCACACGGCTGCCACATGCGATGGGGGAAAGCGCGATAGAGGGGAGAACGTAAATCAACGAGCGAGGAAGAGACGTGAGTGTTCAGCCTCGATGCCAAAAATGCGCCGGATGAGTGTACCAGCAATTCTCAAAGACAAAAAATGCGACAGCCAGGATGTTCAAAGGTGCACTAGCTCTAAAGAAGAAGTGGCAGTGGTGATGCATTTGTCTTCAAAATTATGTGTGCACTTGTTATTCGTCATTCGGAACCCTGCATTGCACTGACATGCCAGATTTCCTTTCACCTCCTTGCACTCCGCATTAGCGGGGCAGGCAGCAGTGCATACGGCTTCCACATGTGGTGGATGGAAGGGTACATTTTGAGGCGCCTCAAAAACCACCTCAATGCAGTGCATACAGGTGCCACACGTGGTTAGTGGAAGGGTTAAGGGCGTGTGTGATTATGCCAAACCTGACAAAGTTCGAACTCAAACCGCTTTGCACCGTGGCAAAAATCTCCTAAATGTATCCTAGCGAAGGAAGAGTTGATAGCACGATTATGTTGTTCATGGGTGCATGTGGGTGGTGGAGATGGTGGAAGAAGTCAAACTGGTGTGCACGGAAAGAAACCCCTCCCTTCTCACATACGTGTGCACTTGTTCTTCTTTGTTTTGAAGCCTTTCCTGCACTGACACACCGGCTTTCCTCCCACCACTATGCACTGGGCATTCACAGGGCAGGCTGTGTTGCAAATGGCTGCGTGGGTGGAAGGTGGGGGTTTGGGAGAGGGGAGAAAGTGGGAGTGAGTGGAAGAAATAAAGGACTGAACAAAGATGCCTCAAATTCCCCACAAGCCCTCCAGCTCGATTCAAACAAAGCACTCAAGTTCACACAAAGCACTCAAGCTCAACTCACACAAAGCACTCAAGCTCAGCTCACACAAAGCACTTTGATCTCTTAAGCATGCATTATCTCTTGAGCTCACCAGTGCAGAGGCCACTCCTCTTGGTGTAGCCGGTGTCACACTCGCAACTCCCATGCCCGTTCTTCACAACGCACTTTGAGTTCTTGCCGCACTTCCCTGTGCCAGCCTTACAAGCGTCTGCCGCTGTCAAGGGTAGAGGAGAGAAGGAGTTAGTATCAGCCTGACTGAATGAGTGAGGGATTTTTTATTTTGAACTGCATTTTCAGGATTAGCGTTGGACTAACTATATCATGTTGGCAAACAAGTGACAAGAAACAAAAAGTCGTACCAGGAGTATAATACCCATTGCTGCAAATCTTCTCAGCCTCATTGAACACGAAGCCTGAGGGGCACTTGCACTGGGCCTTGCCCTCCTCCACAACGCACTTGGCTGTTTCACAATCCTTGGCACACGTGCCTGTTGTGGGCACCACAGAGGGACAAACATCCCAGGCAAATAAAGGGAAGGAGTAAGGGAATATTTAGGGAGGCTTGGGGGGGGGGAAGAAGAGGCTGGGAAGCTAGTTCAAGAGGGGCAATGACCAGAAACAACACCCTACAGATAGGAAAAGCAAGAAAAATTCTTTTCAACACTTGCTCACACCAGCACCCAACCCCCCAACAGCCACCCACACTCCAGCACCCAACCCCCCAACAGTCACCCACACTCCAGCACCCAACCCCCAAGCACACACATACACAGTCCACCACTCACCACTGCATGTCTTGTTTGCTGCGTGGTAGGTAAGACCTTCAACATTGCACGAGCACTTGGGAGTGCCATCACCTCCCACAGAGCAGGTAGCACCTGCCCCACAATCCACTTTGTAACACGCGTCTGTCAACTGGAGTTGGATGTTGGCCCCGTCCTCGCTTGGGCGGAGCCGACTTCCTGGTCGGGTGTAGGGGTGCAGCCGACCTGCAGTAGTGGGCGAGCCGGTCGACGGGGTTGGTCGACCTGCACGGGAGCCACTGCAAGGGCGCCGACTTCGGGAGGGCGCCAACTTCGAGTGGTCGACTTGAGAAGTCGACCTGCAGAGGGCGTCGACTTGGGGACGCCGACCTGGGGTAGCCGACTTGGGTGGTCGGCCAACAGGAGTGCTGGTCGACCTGGAGGTGGTCGACAAGGAGTGTCGTCGACCTGGAGTTGGTCGACCAGAGGGCGTGGTCGACCTGGTGAGGTCGACTGGAGGTGGCCGTCGACTTGGGAGGTCGACAGGCACGCACAGGAGCACCTGGTCGACGTGGTTGCCCGGTCGACCAGGTTACCTAGGTGACGAGGGTCTGCGATGGCACGCGAAGGTCGCCCAGGCGAGGTTGGCGAGGACGACCTCGGTGGTGGTATCCCGAGGTCGACCTGGCAGATGAGATGCAGTCGTCAGCACAAGATGGACTTGGTGCGTGCGCTGTGCAGGTGACGAAGCAGTGCGCGCCAATCACCTACGAGCACCTGCGAAGCTGGTGCGATGCTGGACTGCAGGAGCAACGCTGGCACGCCGTCGACTTGCACGGTTGTCACGCCGTCGACTTGTAGCATTGGAAAGCCGCGCCTCTGCACTGCTGGAGCGCGGTTGACCAAGTCGTGCTGGCACGCGGTCGACCGTGCTGCGCTGGCAGTCGACCTGCTTGCATGCTAGCTCTGATGTAGTCTTGCCTTGCCAACTTCTTTGTATCATTGTTGTCAACTTTCTCTAGTGAAACTCTTGCCAAATTGCCTTGTGAACTAGCAAGTAGTGTGCGCACTAGGAAAACGACTAAGGACCAACGAACGCAGAGATCACACGAGCATCCGTGCCTAGCCCGCAGCCTAGCTCCCGTTGTAGTAGTTATCTCCGCAGCGTCTGCAGGGGAATTCGTGGCGGTTCAAGGTACAGTGGGGCAGGGGAGTTTGTGAAAGGAACGACTTTGCAAAATCATGTGAGCCCACATTGCTTGCAGCACCCACACACACTCCAGAAGTACTCACACGCAACCGTCACACCTACCCACACACCTTTTAACTCAACATGGCATGCCTCGTTGTCTTCTTCACTCTATAAATAACCTTTAATATTGCACGTGCGTGCACTTGTGAGTGGCATCGCCTCTCACAGAGCAGAAAGCATTTTTCTCGCAATCCTTTAGATATCATGCAGCTGAATGGAAACTCGTGGTAACTTTGAGGTAAAGAAGAGCAAGGTGGGTTTTCTGAATTTAACAACACTGAATAATTTTTGTGAAGTAACCGACACTCTAGCAGCACCCAACCACACTCCACCACCCACCCACACTCCAGCACCCCTAAAAACACTCTCTGGCACCAACCATGCTCCAGCACTCACCATTGCATGTCTTCTCCTTTTCATCGTAGATAAGACCTTTGACAGTGCACGAGCACTTGGGAGTGCCATCGCCTCCCACAGAGCAGGAAGCAGCTGTCCCGCAATCATACTTATAGCACGCGTCTGCAGGGGATTCATGGTGGGTTTGATGTACAGTGGGGAGAGGGAGTGCTGATTGTGACAAGTTTGCGTAATTATGTGCACTCAACCAGACTCCAGCACCCTCCCACCCACACTCTAGGACCCACCCACCCACACTCTAGCACTCACCATTGCATGTCTTCTCTTTTGAGTCGTAGATGTAACCACTAACATTGCACTTGCACAGGGGAGTGCCGCCGTTCAGCACGCACGTGGCATTTTGCCCGCAATCCGTGGTCTCGCACACTGCCATGCCACGAGAGAAACCATGTGTTGTTCCGAGTTTAAAGCAGGGAAAGCATATTAGAGAAGGGCAACTTGATAAAAGTGTTATTTTGAGACGTCTCAAACTCAGCACGCACGTAGCACTCTGTCCGCGATCCGTGGTCTCGCACACTGGCATGCTACGGGGGAAATCATGTGTGGTTCCGAGTTTAAAGCAGGAAAAGAAGATCAGTAAAGGTCAAGGTTAGGTCATTTACTCTAAAGTACTGCTGGTTATAGGCGTGCGTGTAACCGCTGTGCCCCTGCACTCACCACTATGGCAGGTCAGGTCACTTGCTCTGAAGACAAAGCCTTTTCCCGGGCACTCGCACCCCTGAGTGTCGTCATCATTGAAAACGCACCAGGCGTCCCCACACTCCTTGGTGCAGTACTGATCATCGATCTGATCTGAGGTGAGGGAGTGAAAGGTGGGTTCCAAAGGGTGGATATTTTGTTGATGACCCAAACCCCAGCACTTGCTGGCACCCTAGCACTCACCCTCACTCCAGCACTCACCCTCACTCCAGCACTCACCCTCACTCCAGCACTCACCCTCACTCCAGCACTCACCCTCACTCCAGCACTCACCCTCACTCCAGCACTCACCCTCACTCCAGCACTCACCCTCACTCCAGCACTCACCCTCACTCCAGCACTCACCCTCACTCCAGCACTCACCCTCACTCCAGCACTCACCCTCACTCCAGCACTCACCCTCACTCCAGCACTCACCCTCACTCCAGCACTCACCCTCACTCCAGCACTCACCCTCACTCCAGCACTCACCCTCACTCCAGCACTCACCCTCACTCCAGCACTCACCCTCACTCCAGCACTCACCCTCACTCCAGAACTCACCCTCACTCCAGCACTCACCCTCACTCCAGCACTCACCCTCACTCCAGCACTCACCCTCACTCCAGCACTCACCCTCACTCCAGCACTCACCCTCACTCCAGCACTCATCCTCACTCCAGCACTCACCCTCACTCCAGCACTCACCCTCACTCCATCACTCACCCTCACTCTGGCATTCACCCGCACTGCACTCATCCAAACTCAAGCACTCACCTGCTCGAATGCATTGCACTCCTTTCCTAGTAGGGAAGCAAATCATACCGTCCGCGCAACCGCCACACGGGTCTGTCGGGGGCAAGAGGCGGTAAGAAGCAAGGGATTCACACAGGGGCGGAGGTGGTGAGATGAGAAGCAGCATGCGTCATGAAGAAGCCGAGGAGCAAGACCGTGTGGAGCAAGAGAGTGAGAAAGGAAGAGCGAATACCAATAGCCTGCCATGGCTTTGACGTGCCACTGGTGGGCGGCACAGCCATCCATCCAGTACGCACCATCAGCAGCGCTGGCTTGGGCACTAGTAGCGAGGAGGCTAGGTTTAAATAGACTCAAAACTAGGTCCAGCCATGATCCAGTACGCACCATCAGCAGCGCTGGCTTGGGCACTAGTAGCGAGGAGGCTAGGTCTAAGTAGACTCAAAACTAGGTCCAGCCATCCAGTACGCACCATCAGCAACGCTGACTTGGGCAGTAGTAGCGAGGAGGCTAGGTCTAAGTAGACTCAAAACTAGGTCCAGCCATCCAGTACGCACCATCAGCAGCTGTAACGGATCTATGAAAAAAAAGGGCATTTACCCACTTAACAATAGGTTCTAATACAACCAGAGAGTAGCAGCTCCTGGAAAATGACTAAGTCTGAGAGTTGCTAGGAGATGCAGTCACAAACTGTGGAAGGTGTGTTGTGAAGAGAGAGATCCCATTTCCCAATTGATTAGTTGGGAGTAGGAAATGGAGAATGAGCCAAGAGGCTTCAGACCCCTTCCCTAGACCCCCTTGGGGTGCAACCACCTTCCCCATGGCAAGGAGGGGTGCACTCCCTTGGGCCTTGCCCATGTGGCAATTAACAAGATTCTCAACCAATAATATTATACATAGCATGGATAGGAAATGCACAGCAATCACAAACCTGTGTTTGATGTTTATTGGTTGTGTTTGGAGTGAGCGGCGGAAATATTGTCGACTCACTCTTGGGGCTGTGATCTGATTGGTTGAATTAGTGATGAGGTGAACTTACGTGGGTTATGTTTGAACAAGCTCAAACCAATCGCGTAAGTTTGACTCAGGAACAACTTGATTGGTTGGTTTCCCAATCAATCCTGAATTGTCCGTAAGTCTCGCTTTCCCAACCAACCAGATTCCCCACCTTTCTCCCTCAGCTGGTTCGATGTATCGAGACCAGCTGGGTTTTCGTACGGATGTTACACTCCTCCCCCTCCAGCTGGCAACGTCCTCGTTGCCGTGGGGTGCTTCTTAGGACGAGTGCTACGAGCACGACGAACCACATTACGACCAGGGTCAACACCATCCGCTGGTTGTGGGAGTGCTCGCTGAGCCAGGTCTTCCATGTAAGACTGGACCGCAGTATCAGTCAAATGTTCTTCCGGCTCCCATGAGTTGTGTTCAGGCCCATAGCCTTTCCACTTAATGAGGAACTCTCGTACAGTCTTGCGGCCGCGTTGTCGATCACGGTGCAAAAGCACTCGTTCGACTTCATAGTACAGTTCCTCCCCTAGGACGATTGTTGGTGGTGGCAAGTACTTGCCTTCTGCAACGTACTTGCTTAACAGAGACACATCAAAGACATTGTGAATCTGCAGGGTATCAGGTAGCTTGAGCTTGTAAGCTACCGCACCAACTCGTTGCATCACCTCGAAGGGCCCAATCCAGCGAGGGAACAACTTTCTCGCACCAGGGATCTTAAGCCGAATATTTTTCGTGCTTAATAAAACTTTGTCTCCAACGGAGAACGATACTTCCAGGCGTTTCATGTCGGCATAGGATTTTTGTCTTTGTTGGGCCAACTGCAGCCAACGATGTGCCGACTTTAGGGCCTCTCGTTGCTTGCCCACAAAATCCTTTGCGGCAGGTAATTTCAAACCGCCGATCCCATGCGTAGCAGGTGTTGTGGGATGCCGACCACAGTTCAGGATAAATGGTTTTTCATGTGTGCTATCATGCACTGAGTTGTTAACCGCAAACTCGACCATGGGTAACAACTCGTCCCAATTGTCCTGTGTTGGGCTTATGAAAGAACGAAGCATCTGCTCGAGAGTGCGGTTAGTCCGTTCCGTTTGGCCATCAGTCTGGGGATGGAACGCTGACGACATCTTAAGCTTCGTTCCTAGTGTCTCGGTTACTTCACGCCAGAATCGGCTCGTGAAGCGCGGGTCGCGATCAGACACTAATACACGTGGCAATCCGTGTAGGCGGAACACATGTGTCACGAACAACCGAGCAGTATCCTCTGCTGACACGTCTGTTGTCGTGGGTACGAAGTGCACCATTTTTGTAAGGCGATCTACGAAGACGAGTATCGCCGTATACCCATCACGGGTTCTTGGGAGGTCGGTGATGAAATCCAGTGAAACGCTTTCCCAAGGTTCACTCGGAATTTCAAGTGGTTGAAGCAAACCACCAGGCTTTTGTGTGTCCGGTTTGTTACGTGCGCACGTGTCACAACGTGCCACAAACTGTTGGACATCACTACCGACTCCAGGCCACCAATATACATCGCGTAAGGCCCACCGGGTCTTATTCATGCCCAGATGTCCCCCGTATTTAGTGGCGTGCACCTCTTCCAAAATATCGTTCCGTAGATTGCCTACATGAGGTACCGCAATCTCTTTTGTTCGCCACCAAAGATCGTGTTCCCAAGTCAAATGCTTAGTGTTTTGTGGGTTCTGGAACCAGGAATCGATATGATATCCTGTGCGAATTCGTTTCAGAAAACCACTGAACGCGATCTCGCTCACTTTCGCCGTAGCTAGTATACTAAAACAGGCAGCAAAAACAGCCGCATGTTCGGTATCGTCAAGCCCAGTTGCTGCCCCTATCGGCTGTCTGCTGAGGGGGTCAGCCAGGTTCGTCGAACCCGCACGATAACGAATGTCGAAACTGAACCCACTGAGGAGTTCAGCCCAACGGGCCTGACGGCGAGTGAGGGTAGCTTGGGTAGAAAAATATGTGTTCGGACAATGGTCAGTGGTGACCACGAACTCTACCCCTTCCAAATAACATCGCCATGTTCTTAGCGCATGCACGACAGCCAACAATTCCTGTTCGGTAGTCGTGTAGCGTTGCTCTGCCGGGGAGAGTTTTCTACTCTCGAATGCCACAGGGCGTCCATCTTGCAGGAGTACTGCTCCAAGTCCCACCGTTGAGGCGTCTGTAACCACCTCATATGGTTTCTGTGGGTTTGGCAACACCAAAACTGGTGCGTTAGTTAATTTATATTTAACCTCCTCAAAGGCCTTTTGGCACTGTGGGGTCCACTCCCACGCACACCCTTTCCGGGTCAATGCCGTGAGGGGAGCGACTATCGTGGAATAATTTTCCAAGAAGCGACGAAAATAATTCGCCAGGCCCAGGAATGATCGAACTTGGCCAACGTCGCGTGGGACGGGCCACTCCTGGACAGCTGCTACCTTCTTGGGGTCCACTTTCAACCCATTATGCCCCACCACGTGCCCCAAATACTCTAGCTCACGCTTGTAAAAATGGCATTTCCACAAACGCGCGTAGTATTTGTGCTCGCGTAATTTTCCGAGGACCCATTTTAAATGTTCCGTATGCTCGTCTTCGGTTTTCGAGTATACCAGGATATCATCGAGGTACACCAAGACGAACTGGCCAATCGCATCACGAAACACATCGTTCATCGCCCTCTGGAAAGAGGCCGGAGCGTTGGTCAAGCCAAAACTTAACACACGCCACTGAAAATGGCCGAACGGCGAACGGAAAGCCGTCTTTGGAACATCGTCCTCTGTTATACGCAGTTGGTGATAGCCTTGCGCCAAATCCAATGCACTGAACCATTGCGCACCCTGTAGTCGATCAAATAAATCTTCTATCCGCGGAAGTGGATATCTGTTTTTGATCGTAATTTTATTCAGGGCTCGATAATCGACGCACATGCGCAGTCCGCCCCCTTTCTTGTGAACGAACAAGATAGGTGCTCCGTATGGGGACGCGCTAGGTTCTATCCATCCCTTCCTGAGGTATTCCTCAATCTGTTGTTTAGCCTCCTCGTACTCAGCTGGACTGAGGCGATACAGAGGTCTAAATGGTGGTGCCTTTCCTGGTTCCACCGGGATGGTATGGCCGACTGCACGGTCGGGAGGTAACCCGTCCGGAATTGGCTCAAAAACCTCAGAATATTCCTCTGCCAACGCCTTCATTTGAGGTGGGAAATCTTCAATAATCTGTGAAGTAGTTGGTTCGGAGTCTAGCTGTACAACAAAAAGTGTATCAGCTACCTTGACATGCTCTTTGAATTGGAGAGCCGACGCAAAGCGTACGTCAAGAGCTAATGTTTGAGGTTTGTCGTCCAGTGCTTGGCGCTTTGGGACTTGCCATTGAAACGTCGTCCCATTCTTTGTGAAGGAAAGCGTGTTATCTTGGAAATTTAAGATCACCTCATTAGGCCGCAGCCAATCCATTCCCAAGACAATGTCTACGCCTGCTAGGAGGGGTAAGACAAAAACGTTAATAGTCTCCTGATATCCTTGGATATCTAGGTTGACCAAGGCATGTCCTCTGCATGGGATGACCCTGTCATCTCCCAGACGGATAGAGCACGATGGTCCTTGAACAGGCACATTCAAATACCCCATCCATTTCTCATCGATCAATGACGCAGTCGCTCCTGTATCAACCAGGATCGAGGCACTGCGCCCGTTTACACGACCAGAAAACAAAAGATTTTGCTGATGTTTAGGTCGAATAGGACATGCCGTGATGTCAGTGGGAGGCAAATAATATGCCTTAATGCCGTGCTTGCTGCGTCCAAAAGAACGAGCTTGTGTCCACCACACATGGTGTCCTTTATCCCACTGCGCTAACACGCTCCATCCTTGAAGTGTTTGAAACAATTTACCTCGAACTGTGCGCGTTACCATTCCAACCGCAGTTAGAGGGTGCGCTTGGGTGCAACGACCCACGACGTCCATTATCCAAGGCAAATTATGGTGATCACAAAATATAAATGAGAATTTATCTCTTAGTGATTCAACTGTGATATTTTCCAGTGGGTGAAATCGAGAGGCAAATAAAGAGCTTTCATTAAAAGAAAATGCATACACACATGCAATTTTGCAATCAACAAGGCACTCGAGTTTCAACAACTCCTCATCCCGCAGGACCACTGCCTCATCCTCTCGATCTGCTATGCCCGCTAGGTACCCACCCCCTAGTTGGGCTTTGCAAAATCCCGCTGGCTGCCCGAGGGACCACTGCCGTCATTGCGCTTGTTGTCCGTCTTAGCCTTGCCAGAGTACTTCACCGCCTTGCGGTGGCGGCACTCATAGCCCTTGTGTCCAGGCTTGCCGCACTTGAAGCAGCTCTGGACATTGCTTGGTCCACCCTCGTTGACCTTCTTGGCCTTATGGTCAGCCTGCTGCCCCTGCTGGAAGGGCCTCTTGTGGTTCCCGCCCTTCCAAGGCGTCCCCTGCTGCCTTCCGCTAGGACCCGCAGTGCTAGACGACGGCCTTGAAGTCTGCTGCGGCTGGGTAGTGGTTTTGGCATAAGCATGGAAATTGCAGAGAGCCAAAGGCCTGCGTGCTCGGCTCAGCAGCGCGCTGCGTAGAAGGACCGGGGTCACCCACTGCACCACCAGAGCGAGAAGGGTTGGTGCGACCGCTAGCAGAGTTGGCGGGCGGGTCCGCTCGCGGTGCAGGGCGATACATGGTCTCCCTCCGAAGGGCGTTGAAAGCCTCGCGCAGATCGTTGATCTTTGAGGTCTGCCGCGCCAGCTGGTGACCTTGCTCCCGCGCATCGTGCTTCATGTTCTTGAGCTCAACTTCCAGGTACTTGATTTTGTTGTCCTGGTCAGAGAGCTCCCCCCTGAGCGTGGAGATGAGAGACTGCTGCTGCTGGATGCGCGTATCCTGCTCAGCAGCGTGATCCTGCAGCTTAGCAATTTCAGCATGCAGAATATCCTCTTCGCCCTCCAGCTCAATGTCATCCCCCTGAGACTCCCTTTCCTGTTCCTTGGAATTTTCAGCAGCTGCAGGGTCCTTAGCAGATGAGTTTCCAGCAGGTTCTTTGTCATCCATTTCCTCATCCATATTGTTCAGATCAATCTTCTGCACACAAGCTTCCAGTTCAGCCTGGGAGTTGTTCCCTTCAACACCTCCAGCATTGGAGTTGGTAGAAGCCATTGAGAGTCAAGTCACTGTATTATAAAAATGAGTTACAGATCTACTGCAAATTGTTATCACCGCAGTGAATAACCAAGATTTTCTCCAAAGGAGAAATTTCTTCAATAGATCTTACAACCACAGCAATGTGAAAAACACCTCTGTTGCAAAATATCCTTACCACCGCAGTGGATAAGGCAAGAACAATCACAAAGTGATTGTCTTCAACAGAGAATGTTAATACACACAGGTTGCACTCCTTCACAGTAGCTCCAATGGTTCCACCAGCAGGGAGGGAGGGAGGGCTGAGAACTCTTGGAGAAGCTTCAAAGTCTTGAAAACTTGAGCTTGAGCTTGTAGTCTTCAAAAACTTTATAATAGAGATTACAATACAATCACAACTTCTCCAAAAAAAAAAATATATCCACAAAATCCTCTTATATGCCCACAAGGCGAGGATCTACTAATAGCTCTGAATACCAATGTAACGGATCTATGAAGAAAAAGGGCATTTACCCACTTAATAATAGGTTCTAATACAACCAGAGAGTAGCAGCTCCTGGAAAATGACTAAGTCTGAGAGTTGCTAGGAGATGCAGTCACAAACTGTGGAAGGTGTGTTGTGAAGAGAGAGATCCCATTTCCCAATTGATTAGTTGGGAGTAGGAAATGGAGAATGAGCCAAGAGGCTTCAGACCCCTTTTCTAGACCCCCTTGGGGTGCAACCACCTTCCCCATGGCAAGGAGGGGTGCACTCCCTTGGGCCTTGCCCATGTGGCAATTAACAAGATTCTCAACCAATAATATTATACATAGCATGGATAGGAAATGCACAGCAATCACAAACCTGTGTTTGATGTTTATTGGTTGTGTTTGGAGTGAGCGGCGGAAATATTGTCGACTCACTCTTGGGGCTGTGATCTGATTGGTTGAATTAGTGATGAGGTGAACTTACGTGGGTTATGTTTGAACAAGCTCAAACCAATCGCGTAAGTTTGACTCAGGAACAACTTGATTGGTTGGTTTCCCAATCAATCCTGAATTGTCCGTAAGTCTCGCTTTCCCAACCAACCAGATTCCCCACCTTTCTCCCTCAGCTGGTTCGATGTATCGAGACCAGCTGGGTTTTCGTACGGATGTTACAGCAGCGCTGGCTTGGGCAGTGGTAGCGAGGAGGCTAGGTCTAAGTAGACTCAAAACTAGGTCCAGCCATCCAGTACGCACCATCAGCAGCGCTGGCTTGGGCAGTAGTAGCGAGGAGGCTAGGTCTAAGTAGACTCAAAACTAGGTCCAGCCATCCAGTACGCACCATCAGCAGCGCTGGCTTGGGCAGTAGTAGCGAGGAGGCTAGGTCTAAGTAGACTCAAAACTAGGTCCAGCCATCCAGTACGCACCATCAGCAGCGCTGGCTTGGGCAGTGGTAGCGAGGAGGCTAGGTCTAAGTAGACTCAAAACTAGGTCCAGCCATCCAGTACGCACCATCAGCAGCGCTGGCTTGGGCAGTGGTAGCGAGGAGGCTAGGTCTAAGTAGACTCAAAACTAGGTCCAGCCATGATCCAGTACGCACCATCAGCAGCGCTGGCTTGGGCAGTAGTAGCGAGGAGGCTAGGTTTAAGTAGACTCAAAACTAGGTCCAGCCATCCAGTACGCACCATCAGCAGCGCTGGCTTGGGCAGTGGTAGCGAGGAGGCTAGGTCTAAGTAGACTCAAAACTAGGTCCAGCCATCCATCCAGTACGCACCATCAGCAGCGCTGGCTTGGGCAGTAGTAGCGAGGAGGCTGAGCGCAAAGAGTGCCGCCACGAGTGCGCCGAGGCCAATGCCGACGGCAGACCGCCGCCCGGAGCGCTTCATCACGACGACGGTGACGGCTAGAGAATCAGGGAGACGGGGACAACGGTCACGGCGCGACGGGGAGAGCTGCTTGCAAGCCAGAACTTGCAGTTTGAACCGTAGTGCTCACGTTCGCGCTAGTCGCGGCGAGCTTTGAGGCGCCTGAGAAATCGATGAGGACCGCTGCTTGCAAGCCAGAGCTTCTGGTTTGAAGCGTACTCGCGGTTCGTAGTACTCACGTTCGCACTAGTCGCCGCAGCGAGGAGGGATCGGTAAAAGCTCGAGAGGTGCGAGTCAGGAGGAGTCGAAAGCACGCAATCAGCGAGCAACTGACGTGGTAATGTGATAAGCACGTGAAGCGGGCGTCGATCAGATCATCGACCTCACTACGGTGTGGAGGGTGAGTGGACAGTCACGACTCTACGTCTAGTTTTGAGGCGCCTCAAAAGTAATCACGTGAAGCGGGCGTCGATCAGATCATCGACCTCACTACGGTGTGGAGGGTGAGTGGACAGTCACGACTCTACGGTAGCTCGCGTCTCGTCTCGGAAACGGTGGGGCGAATGCGGAGGGAGACGCAGCAGCGGCAGGGGCGCCAGCGTCCCGCGTCGGAAGGGAGCAGGGGTGGGGAGGGTGAGAGCGGGCCAGCAACAGGGGGTGACATTGCGCCGCCATAGGATCAAAGTCATCGGATGAACCTCTCGACCCTATGACTTTGATCGTGTCGAGAGACGTCTCAAAACAACAGGGGGTGGCATTGCACCGCCGAGGCCCGGATGAATCTCTCGACCCTATGACTTTGACCGTGTTGAGATTAGGATTCAGTCGGGTGTAACGATGGTTGTCATGACGGGCGGCGGCTACGGCGGGAGGAAAGCGTGGGAGGCGCCTAATGCGGGGATTGTACCGCGTTTGATCTGCCATTCGATTGGACGAAGCGGAATTCGAACTCCGCGACAGGCGCAACGGAGGGAAACGCTCCTGCCTCTAAGGAGTAGTATCGCGCTCGCGCACACCAGCGAACTGCGGGACTTGCGGAAGAATCCATTCAGTGCATTCTTGATAAAGAGTGAACGCGTCACAAGACTGAACCCGTTGACCATGCCTTAGCGAATGAAGTGATTGCCAGGAATGCGTGCAAAGATTTGCCGAAGCAGGTTCGCCACTGAGGCTCACAAGAAAGGAAGCGATCCAACTTCGCGAACAAGTCGCGTATGTTTTCGCTCTGGCCAACTGAGAATCGCATATATCGCACATCCGCAAAATTCTCCGCGACAAGCTCGCATGCCATCATTTCGCCAGTTTCGCCAACCCGACAAACCCACGCTTCCTCATTAACATACTTCGCTACGTACGTCTGCAAAACAATATAATTCTGATAACTATCAGATGTTCCAGACAAAACAAAACAATCCTGAAAAACCAGAAGAATATAAATCACAAATGACCACTGTAATATCGTCTAGCAAAACAGACCATCATGATAGCATACAACGCACAAAAAAGGAGCCATAGTACCGAAGCTATCCATCCCTTTCTTGGAGCAAAAACCAGACTCTGGTACAAACGACTGCAAAAACATTCCTACTGATGCACATACGCACACAAACAATACAACCAACCTCCAGCCAAGCTGGCTCCTGGGTCCTGCCCTCCGAGCAACTGCATGCAGTTGCTCGTACCTCTGCTCCACCAGCCCCCACCCATCTACTGCCCCCCTGGCGCTGCCAGCTTGCGCCTCCCTGCCTCCTGTCCATCCAACTAGGGTCGCCTGTTCTTTGCTTGCCCACCTGCCCCTTCATTGTGGATATGATCAATCTGTGGTTGCAAAGAAAAAGGTCAAATGGAGAGCACGCCACGGCACAAGAAGTGAGATGCGACATCAGACGACAGAGGAAGATGTGTAACTGACATGTGGGCTGTTTATGGGTGCACGTGGGGTGGTGGGGAGCTGGCTGCACCAGCTTGGAGAGAGCACGGCACAAAGCAGAGCAAGGCACAAAGCAGAGCACGGCACAAAGCAGAGCAAGGCACAAAGCAGAGCAAGGCACAAAGCAGAGCACGGCACAAAGCAGAGCATGCATATCCGTCTCCCTTGCGTTTGAACCCACACTTACCGATCTGGCAGCAAATTGACTGCGACGCAGGGGCTAATTTGACAGTCCTGAGAGAGGGAGAGGTAAGGATGCGGAAGAGCAAAGCAAAGATGAAGACAAGTCACTCTGGGTATGACAGTCCCTGCATTCACGCTACAACAGCCAAGCAAACCCTGGTGATCAATGAGCGTTGTACCCATGGGCTAGAAGACATAAGGACCAAAACCACATGTGCCGTGCATCACACATGCGCCCGTGCATCACACATGTGCTGTGCATCACACATGTGCCGTGCATCACACATGCGCCCGTGCACCGTATGCACACACCTTTTCGTGACGGGGAAGGCAAGCCCCTTCCACCAAGGACGTGTGATCGTGAGAACCGCCTGCCCCGAGCAGCCCGGGCCAGAATAGAAGTTCAGAGCATAGCACATGCCACCGCCAGCTGCTGCGAGCTTGCTGTCGCCAGCCGCAGCGCTGCCAACCTGCAGCTTGGCGGCTCTTCACACGACGGTCATCTTGGTGCTGCCGCCGATGCTGGAGGTGAGGTCTCTGCATGCCGTGGTGCCGCCAATTGCTTCTGCCGGCATGTCTGTGGAGAAGGTGACCTTCTGCTTCTTGGCCTTGGCCTTCCGGTTGCGCCCAGAGTTTCCTTGTAGCTCCAGCGTCGTCCGGAGTAGGGGGCCTGAGTAGGGGTCCGGAGGACCGGAGTAGAGGGCGGGACGGGGGAAAGCAGGTGAATGGAGGTGCGGAGGAATAGGCGAGCTTCTGCTGCTTGGCCTTGCCGCGCTTGCGCCCAGAGTTGGGGGCCTGCAGCTCCAGCGTCGTCCAGAGTAGGGGGCCTGAGCGGAGCGGAGGGCGGGACGGGGGAAAGCAGATGAAAGGGAGGTGCGGTGGAGAAGGTGAGCCTCTGCTTCTGCTTGTTGGCCTTACTGCGCTTGCGCCCAGAGTTGGGGGCCTGCAGCTCCAGCGTCGTTCGGAGTAGGGGGGCTGAGTGGCCGGGGAGACAGTTGACAGCAGAGAGGAAAGGAGAAGAGCAGTCAAGGGAGGAGCGAGGACATGGAAGCCGCCAAGTAGCTCCTCAGTCGTACTGAGTACGGGGACTGAGGGGCGATGAGACAGTTGACTACATGGATGGGGTTTTGACATTTGAGGCGCCTCAAAAGGCGTCGAGTTGGGGGCGGGACAGGGGAGGTGAGCGAGGAGTGAGGAGACGAAAACAGGTGGTCAACGTTCACATGAAATGCAAGAGTCGAATCTCAGCGCGGCCCGTGATTCCTGCGAAATGTGTTTGTTTAGAGAAATGAATCGTCTACATTTCATCGTCTGTACTTCATGAGTGCAGCACTCACCAAAGCACGAGTTGTATTCCAGGCTGAAGATAAAACCAGCACCGGGGCACACGCACACGGCATCGTCAGCATCGCTCAGAGAGCAAGCAGCATCTTTTAGGCGCCTCGGAAGTTGTCTAGCACTCAGCACTCACCAAAGCACGTCTTGTATTCCTGGCTGTATACAAAACCAGGTGTGGGGCACACGCACACGGCATCGCCAGCAGCGGTCCGAAAGCAGGAAGCATCGGAGCCACAACTCAGGGCGGCACACGGGTCTGCAGAGGAAAGAACCGGTGTGGTTGGGAGGTGTAAGTAGGGGAAAGGATTTAAGAATTCTTGCACACTCATCCACACACACACATTCAAACACGCATGCCGGACCATCCAAACACTGGCACACAGCAGTGCCATCAGCACGCACAACGCACTCAACCACACTCCACCACTCACCACCATTGCATGTGTTGTCGAGTTGATTGAAGGTAGAACGATCATCCAGGCACCGGCATACAGCAGCGCCATAAATATTCATAATGCAATGAGCATCGGTCCCACAATCCTTGTCAGCACACACGTCTGCTCGGGAAATCACGGGTTGTTCCAAGGTAAAGCAGGGAAAGGAGTCACAAGAGCGAGAATCTTTTTTATTTATAAATATATCGTTGCCCTCACCCTCACTCCAGCCAGCTCTCACCCACACTCCAGACATCAATTGTCAGCTTTCAACGTCAGCTATCAACGTCAGCTTCCAACGTCAGCTATCAACGTCAGCTTCCAACGTCAGCTATCAACGTCAGCTTCCAACGTCAGCTATCAACGTCAGCTTCCAACGTCAGCTATCAACGTCAGCTTCCAACGTCAGCTATCAACGTCAGCTTCCAACGTCAGCTATCAACGTCAGCTTCCAACGTCAGCTTTCAACGTCAGCTTTCAACGTCAGCTTTCAACGTCAGCTTTCAACGTCAGCTTTCAACGTCAGCTTTCAACGTCAGCTTTCAACGTCAGCTTTCAACGTCAGCTTTCAACGTCAGCTTTCAACGTCAGCTTTCAACGTCAGCTTTCAACGTCAGCTTTCAACGTCAGCTTTCAACGTCAGCTTTCAACGTCAGCTTTCAACGTCAGCTTTCAACGTCAGCTTTCAACGTCAGCTTTCAACGTCAGCTTTCAACGTCAGCTTTCAACGTCAGCTTTCAACGTCAGCTTTCAACGTCAGCTTTCAACGTCAGCTTTCAACGTCAGCTTTCAACGTCAGCTTTCAACGTCAGCTTTCAACGTCAGCTTTCAACGTCAGCTTTCAACGTCAGCTTTCAACGTCAGCTTTCAACGTCAGCTTTCAACGTCAGCTTTCAACGTCAGCTTTCAACGTCAGCTTTCAACGTCAGCTTTCAACGTCAGCTTTCAACGTCAGCTTTCAACGTCAGCTTTCAACGTCAGCTTTCAACGTCAGCTTTCAACGTCAGCTTTCAACGTCAGCTTTCAACGTCAGCTTTCAACGTCAGCTTTCAACGTCAGCTTTCAACGTCAGCTTTCAACGTCAGCTTTCAACGTCAGCTTTCAACGTCAGCTTTCAACGTCAGCTTTCAACGTCAGCTTTCAACGTCAGCTTTCAACGTCAGCTTTCAACGTCAGCTTTCAACGTCAGCTTTCAAGGGCGAACCAAGAGGGTGGGAAGCAAGAGCGTGGGAAGCAAGCGGGAGAGATGCAAGCGGGTCGGATGCAAGAGTGAGAAGCAGTTGGGTGCCAGGGCACTGCCATTGGTGTGTGGCAGTCGGCCAATCGCACATTGACTCACTCCCATGCCATGCGTGCACTCGCGCACTCCTCACCAAGCACCATAGCATGTCTTGTCTGTTTCGTTGAAGGCCTTAGCGCGATCCCCGCAAATGCACTTCGGAATGGTGAGATAACTGCCCACCCGAACGCAAGTGGCACTTGCCCCGCAATCCACTTGGGCGCACGGGTCTGCACGGGGATGTGCGGGGGGGAGTGGTGGGGGGGTTTGAGTCGACTAAAAATAGGAACAGTAAGAGTAGTGCCCGTCCGGACGCAGATGGCACTTGCCCCGCAATCCACTTCGGCACACGGATCTGCACGGGGAATCATGGGGTTCCAATAAGAATCATAGGAGGGCGAGGGGATGAAATGAAAGAAACGAGTGTTTTTTTAATGACAGTGCACCCACTCACCCACACTCGCTCACTCACCCACACTCGCTCACTCGCCCACGAACCTTTCTGTTCTAACCTCTCTCCAGGATGGGAAGCAAGAGGGTGGGAAGCAAGAGGGTGGGAAGCAAGAGGGAGAAGCAGTTGGGTGCCAGGGCACTGCCACTGGTGTGTGAGGGTCAGCCTAATAGGCTGCCAGTAGCACTCACCATCATTATTGGCGCTGGCGTGGGTCGCAAAGAGAAGCAGTTGGGTGCCAGGGCTCTGCCAGTGGTGTGTGTGTGCCAGTCAGCCTTCTGCCACTGGTGTGTGAGGGTCAGCCTACGA